GGAAGGCTGAGTCAACCTTGAGCCAGTGAGAATTGACCTGCTGGCAGCCAGTAGTCAGCAGAAGTAGCCTGCAGTCCTGCATTCTAACTACTGCACCACCACGGCTCTGTAATATGCATTTTGGGCACTATTTCTTTCATAGTGGCTTTGGACTGTTTTTTAGGACAGTTTCTCTGCACTAAACTCTCAGAAAGATAAGAGCTGTATAAACAAGCAGGTATAAAAATAGACTAGCACTATAATATATAGCCAGTATATGGATTTGTGCAATAATTTGCTAGAACTTGGCAATTTGACACTCTTGGTTGGTCCTAAAAAGATATTGCCATACTATATTTGCTACATTTTTATTTTCACATAGACTAGAACAGGTATCATGGGGGTTTTAAGTCCAAAAACATTACATGGTAAAATATTCATAAATACACAGAAGTAAAAGGAGGCTCTAAATAGTGGAAAAGTTAAGATTTTTCTAAAGACAAGGGAAGTGCAGGGAACCTAATTTGTTTGCATTCATGTTCAGTGCAGAAGCTATACCATGGTTACCCATGCCCAAACTGACATTTTTTAAAGAAAAAATACAAATACGAAAAATTATTATGAGATAAATGGTTAGATCTAATAACTGAAGAAAATAATTAATCTCTAGTCCTATATAGTGTTCAGTTGTGAGAGTGGCATGGTGACCTATAGATGAAGACTCTCACCTCCCACTTGAAAGGTTGAGAGGTCAATCCTAAGCAGTCACAGATGTTTCTCTGTCAGGGCACAAAGAGAAAATATCTGCTGTGAACTCGGTATAGGAAGGGCATCCAGCCAGTAAATGCTCAGCTCCATTCAGTCGCCTTGACTCCACCCCGAATCAAAGCATTTCACTATTACATGGTCATAAAAAGAAAATATATAATGTTCAAATGTGAGTGTTTAGAAATGACTTAACTGTCTGATTTGGTAGTTATATGTGTGCTAAGAGAATCATAATTAACTACCAAATGGTACAACTTCACCAGTGGTGGGATTCAGCCAGTTCGCACCACTGGCAGAACCAGTAGCTAATTTTTTTGTTGCCCAGGCCCAGAATGGACTTCCGGAAGCAGCATCCACACAGAGAGCCGGTTGTTCACATATTTGAATCCCACCACTGAACTTCACTCAAAATGCTATTAGTAGTGGAAATCTTGGTTAAAAAATTGCCCGCATGCTTAGTTAGAGAATTGTGTTTTAGCCATCTGTAAAGTCAGGCCTTTAATCTCAATAGAGAGAGTATTCTAAAATTCTGCAGCTGCAGGCAGACTTCCCAAATGATCTTATGAAGAAAATGAGAGTCTTACAGAAAAAAACTTATTTATTGAATAGTCGTGTTTATTTATTTCCTTTTATGTCACCCAAACTGCAGGTATAGAATTATTAAAATATTATATAGAAAATGTATTCTGGGCATCAGAGGAAAATCTTCCATTCAGCTTTGAAAAAGCCCTGTAGTTTGTTTTAAAAATCTGTTCATTTTGGGAGTTAAAAAGGAGTTTATTTTATACATTTATTTTGTAATTTATAAATTTATAAATATATTTTGTGAATCAACTAAATGTTTGATTATACATTGTTTTGTGTTAAATTATTTTATATTTTTATTGTGACATGCGTTTAGACAATTATGGGATAATATAAATGAAACATAAATATATGATTCTACAGTCAACACAATATTCCTTGTATTTTCAACATGATAAACGAAACAAACACATCAGAAACAAGTTTTATATATGAGTGTCTTAATAGTTTTGAAGTAGTAGCATATACTGATATTTTCTATTGAAGAAAAAATACAACACTGAATTATAGGTAGTAAAACCTATGCAGATAAACATATATAAAACTATTTTTATGGCTGAAATCAGCTATATCATCCTTTGAATATAATTTTATATATAAAACTCTGCAAATGAATTGTGTGGGAAGTTCTCACAAAGTCTATCAAAGATGATGCCCATCAGATAAATTGAGACTGTAGTCCTTCGTTTTGACTTATGTACCTAAGATTTTTGGTTTTGAATGCATGTAGCATGGCTTTTCCTATTTAGTCAAAGAAAAGAGGTCTGAGCGTTGAAGAGAAGAGAACTCGGATGATGGAAATCTTTTTTGAAACAGTAAGTAATGTTTGTTTTTGCTTTCTATTACTTTGGATTTTTTTTTAAGAAACAGAGTCTGATTTGAAAATATTCAGTTGCCAAGAGGATTGGTTAAAGGTCCTTGCTATATAATAATGGCTGTAGTATAAGTAGTATATGCCTAAGAGGAATTTATCATGTAAACTCATGTGGGAAAATGATCATGTCAAAAACAGCATACAAATTTTACATGTTGTCTGTGGTGTAATTAACTTTTCTTGAATTCCACTCTCAATCTGACAACTGACCTTTGTAAATTACCTTTTAATGTAAGATATTCCAAATATTCTAAAAATGTGTATAGTGTTTTATATATTTTTATCTTGAGGAAAACTCTATTTTAGTAGAGTTAAAAAGACTTTGATGACTCAGAAATCTATGGTTATTAAAGACGTCCTAAAGTTAGTCAACTTGCATCATAAATGGTGGAGCAAAGAAGCTGCATGCATGAATAAACATCTTTTTAATTTGGAATATTATTATATTTTTATGTGTACAGCTTTGAATCATATGCTCTGAATCAGTGCTATAAATTAGCATATCTTGTATGTTAATATATTTGATGTTTTCTTTGTACTTTATTTTGAATTGCATGTGAAGTTTGTGAAGCCTATAAAAGTTTGGCTGTGGAATGCTGAACAAAAGAATTTCATTTGATTTACTGCTTTCTAAATTTAAAAATGCGGCAAACTAAATGTTCTTACTTTCACAAATATTTGCTTATTATTGTCTACTTTGGGTGGTTTTTAAAGTATTCCTTTACAGTTCCGTTAATTTTATACCTGAAAAGGATAATTCTAGGACACATTAGCAGTTATTGATTTCACTGTCTAAAAATGTTTATGAAGAAGAAATACAGTAACTAGTATTCAGTAAATAACAGGAGGCAATTACTTTAGAAGCAGAGAAAAGTATGTGTCTTGGGGGGAAAGTGACTTTGAAGAAATGCAAGTAATCAGATAGATGGCTTTTTAATTCTTATCAGAAAATGTATTCTAATAGTCTGGTTAAATTATTTTTAATATAGTTTTGTTCCTTTTATTCTTACAATGCATTTAGTGAGAGAATAAAAATCTCCCACTAAAAAGTTCAGTAATGTTTCTGCCCTTTGCTAATAGGAACACATTACAAAACAGTTTTCTTCTCATTTTTTTGGTAACAGAAAGATGTATTCCAGTTAAAGGATATTGAGAAAATTGCTTCGAAAGAGAAAGGAATAAGTGAGTACCTAAACTTGATTGTTTCTAAGCTTGAGTCATAATTGCATTTGAAGTGTTTTTGTTTTTTCCAAAGACATCATGTTCTTACTCTCACAGAAGTCTGAAAATAGGATCTAACTGGGTTTGGTTGTTTATTTTAATATTCATTCCTCCTATTTTCTCCACAACCCTGTGAGATGGGTTGGGCTGAGAGACTGGCCCAAAGTCACTCAGCCATCTTTCATGTCTAAAGTGGGACTAAAACTTACAGTTTCTCGGTTTCTAGCCTGGTGCCTTAACCACAAGGCCAAATTGGCTCTATGTAAGAAATTATTATAATTAGTAGTACAGTCGGCCAGATATTTAAACTCAATTGGGCATTTTTAACCACCTATCAAGTCATCCCCAAGGTCCTGGGATAGGCAGATGTTTTTATTTGATGGTGTTAAAGATATCATCTCAGGGTGTAAGCTGTTCCAAGTAAACTGACTTTCAACTGACTGATGATGATTTTGTCAGTGCTGATGGTGTTCAAATGGTGCTCCAGGGAACCTTGCATCCAAGGAACCTATTACTATTCATACTATTTTTGTTTCTTCTTTTTTTTACCATAGTCATTCTATTTCTATTTGCAGTTCTTTGTACTTTGTGATTTTCTCCAATTCTTCCTTTTCTATTCTTCTGTCTCCAGGTACTACCGCATCCACTATCCAGACTAATTTTTATATATACAGTAATGTAAATTACAGCTGCCAGTTCTTTAGGTGATACTAGCCTTCATTCATATCAAGTGTGTCCCAAGAAACAAGGATGTTATAATGTATTGGCATAATATACCTGTGAATCTGTAATTCATAGATAGAAATTTTGTCATTGTGCAGATTTTCTAAGTGCTGTGCAAGATTTACCCATCTGGCTTTCTGTCTAAAAGAGGCCTAGAATTCACAGTCTCTTGGTTTCTAGGCCAGCACCTTAAGCACTACACCAAACTCTCTCTTTATGAATTCTATGCACTTTATGAATTCATGATGTTTTCAGTTTGCTGCATATTTTACATAATGTTTGATAGGAGGACCTGAAATGCTTTCAAAATTCAATAGGGAATCCTATATAATGAAACCTTGGCCCCCTCAGAGAGGGTGCGCAACTTGGGAGTCCTCCTGGATCCGCGGCTGACATTGGATGACCAATTGTCGGCCGTGACCAGGGGGGCGTTTTATCAGGTTCGCCTGATTCACCAGTTGCGGCCTTTTCTGGACCGGGACGCCTTGCGCACAGTCACTCATGCTCTCGTCACCTCCCGCCTGGACTACT